AGTTGGATGCTATTTGCATACGAATTCAATGTGAGCATACGTTGTAATAATCGGGCAAACCCGCGCGTGCCTCGGTCCGGCGCGGCGCCCCGCACTGCAGGCCAGAGGTGCACCGAAAGCGAACTAGATAATCGGGAAGTCTCATAATCTCACTTCACATGAAACCGGGTCATAAATTATCTTCCTGGTAGTGATGAGGATATTCGAAGACGCAAATTGCAGATATATTTGTATTTATCCATCAGAAATTTACAGCTCAACAAAATTACATGTGTGAGAGGTTTAGTACCAAGAAATTTCTTTGTGTGATTTTAATTTGAAAAACAGGGCTTTGAAAAGATGATAAGAAAATTGACAACAAGATACTCGCAAGATGATCAAGAGGGATCGTACAGGAAGAAGAGGGGTGGATTATTGCTCATGATCGAAACTCACAATAAATCGAATTGAAATTCTTCCTGGGGCTTATGGGACTGCTTATCATAATACTGGCGCCTGAAAAATATATAAAGAATGTACATTTAGTTTGTTGAATGTTTTGGGTATAGTATGGGGTCCTGAACTTCAATCTACATTTTTGTTTTTCACATAAAAAAAAATTATTTGAAAATGAAATTATATTAAATGAGAACAACATTATATTTCGAAGGAGAAATTATACGTCGTCCTCTCAGAGTCATCTTCGCTCTCGCTGTCTGAAGATGATTCTCCAGAGTTGTCATCAGTACCTGTTATTGAGAATATTATTCAATTATTGAAAAATCTTGGCATGATCGAAAGATATACCTGATACTTTCTCAGTTGAAGTCTCAGAGATTATGATATCACCAACCTCTGCTGGGAGAGCTTCACCAAGGTACCAATGGAAATCGTACCCAAAAAAAGTATCAAGGGCCCAGCCCCCTTCATTATTTTTCATGTAACTGACAATGACATAACTTCATCAAATCCAGTATAGTTGAGTTCAGCGATAAGATTCACACGCTGCACTTAAATACAGGGTTACTGGTAATCCGATTCATACCACTGGTAGGGAAGGCAGTAAGAAGTGAATAAATCTGTAATATACATTATACTAAAGTAAATGGTTTTTGAGATATTTAAATATCGCATCTCCGACAAAAGGAAAAAACATTATTGAATGCCTAAAATCATTACATGCTACATTCTACCCGGATGCTGCAGCATTCATTGTTCAGATATGAAAATTGTTTCAGCAAAAAAAGGAAATACTTCAAACCCGGGATTCATATTTCTGGCACAATTTGACAATTTGGCGCATGATTGCTATAAGAGTGCTGCGTGTAAATGATATCGCTAGATGCTGTAGAGCTGTATTCGTCATAATAATCTCAACTCGATATTGAGGTAAAGTATAGTGTTTCAGTAAAAAGAAATCAACAACTACCCAATAGTTCATTTGTTATGAAGAGCCTGTGAATTTTTTGATAACAATGAAAAATCTCTTAGGAAAATCATTTTAATTGGTTTTTGAAATTTTAAAATCGGTTTAGAAACAACTAAGTTTCAATGGGAGATATTTGTGGTGAAACACCCTGTACGGAATGTGCAAATTGTATGCAAACTATCATCTCATATATACTGTGTGGTCCACTAACCATGGTCAAAATTTGAACATTTCTTCGATTATCGATTATTTGAAGAATATCCAGTCAAATGATGTTCGAATAAGTCGAGCTCCCCTCTCCGGAATCGTATGCAAATGTCGGGAAACTGATCAATGGGTCCGAATTCATTGTTTCGCCAAAGGGCATACATTCTTCGATCATCCACTATAACACTGAAAAATTTCTACTTCCGGTTCGTATGCCGCCCTTGGGGAGTGACCTAGGCGTATGCAAACCGGCAAGCGCCCCAATTCTCGTGAGTTAAGATCCGAGGGGTAAATCTCCAGGAAAAATGTGTACACCAGACTTCCAATGACCAAAGACTTCCAAAGACTTCCAAAGCCTTCCAAAGACTCCCAAAGACTCCCAAAGACTTTCAAAGACTCCCAAAGACTTTCAAAGACTCCCAAAGACTTTCAAAGACATCCAAAGACTTCCAAAGACATCCAAAGACTTCCAAAGACATCCAAAGAATTCCAAAGAATTCCAAAGAATTCCAAAGACTTCCAACGGAGTGTACACCAGACTTCCAAGGAGATTTACCCCTCGTTAAGATCATTGCACTTCATTGACGAGCTTCTTCTTGAACAAAATTTTGAAATTTTTTCCAGCCGAAAGGTGAGGTCAGGGCCGGGGCAAGGACTGGGTTGCGACTCTCCGAGGCAATTCTTATTGTTAACTCGGACTGAGTGAGTGGGTCCCTTAAATGGCATACCGACTTAGAACATCGATAAACCCTGTGTCGCGGGCCAACAGTCTATTATTGTTGATGATCGTGCACATCTGAAAACCACAAATCGCAAGACCACTCAAATGGACAAAATTCAAGAATGCGCCGATGATATTCGTGAATTGATACATTTTTTTTTAATTGTCTCACCAAATATAATGAGAAAAACAAATTGTTACACTAGTGTATAGTACATTTCATGAAGATAAAAAAAAATAGAAGTTCCAAATATATATTTGCCCCAGGTTCATGCTAACAAGAGCCTCGACAACTATAGGACCTCAATTCTTGTGAATCTTCAGAGTGCTGGCCGGCGATTTAATGCTGAGAAGATTGACCAACACAGGTGCCTTTCGGCCTGCCTGATTCATGATGTGCTGGCTTATTCACCAAGAGTTCTTGTAGGACCACTAGGTGATTCCAAAACAATTGGTAATCTAAATATTTCCATAAAGGTCAGTGGCATTCTCATAGGGCACTCTCAAAAAATGATTTGTTTTGTGATATTAAAACTTAAGATTTATGAGCAAGACCGTGCCCAGAATTTTTTTCGGGGTGGGGGGTCGAAGAAGTCAAATTCGACATGGCGGAACCAATATGGCGGACGAGTTTTGTAACTAATGATCCGCTTCCTCTCAAAATTTGTGTCTGGAGGTTTTTGGGATCATAGATTATGATTCCTTTGTCAAAATTGGAAAATTCAATATAGCAGATCCAATATGGCGGACGAGTTTTGTAATTATGGTCCGATTCTAATCAAAATCTGTATCTGGGCTTTTTGGAATAGGAGATTATGATTTTTCTGTCGAAATTGAAAAATTCAATATGAGGAATGAGCTTTGTAATAATTATGATCGTATTCTATTCAACATTGGTATTTGGGGGATTTCTGGGTTGGAAATTATGATTCTTTCGTCAAAATTCAAGATGGCGGCTTCAAAATGACGGATGACTCTTGTGATTGTAGTCCGATTTTATTCAAAATTGATATGTGGGGACAATATTTCCTATTTATAGAAGCTTTGACTTCAAAAATGTTATGAATAAAAGATTGTTTAAAGGACCAAACTACATGTAGTTAAAGGCTAAACTGGTGGCTAAACATAGGAATTTGACTTTTTCAATTTGATAACAAAAAATTTAATAATCGTAAAGGATCGTTCTCCAGTTTTGATAGAATTGGGGATGGAAATGTCACAGGATTTTCAACAATACCCAATGTGTTTGGGACATAGTGCATGAACCAGGATATGATAGATCAGAGGTGTTTAGAGGACCAAACTGAAAATGTTGACAAAAAAACTAGATGATATAAACTGTAAAATACCTATATTGAACATTTAGAGTTGATAACCCTTTCAATAAGTTCTATAGGTTCTGCTCAATACTAAAACTCATGAGACTTTGAAATTTCAAGAATCATCTATTGAAAAAAACAGGTAGGTCAAATAGATCTTGATATTGATTTTAGCATCATCAGAACTTGAAATCAATTATTGTCCTAGAATATAGAATAATAACATTGCACATTTGTTCATAATGATATTAGTAAGCATATAAAATATTCGAAATTTTTGCTGTATGCAGAGGACCTAAAACTCCCAGGAATGACTCTGATTCTGTTACCTTTTTCTGCGAAATCAATGACTTGAGACTGAATGAGGGAAAGTGTAAATGAATGCCTTTCTTATGATACCTACTATTCATGAAACTAAGACTAGCTTGAAAAAATCTAAGATCTACCAGTAGTATTCAGTAAGAATTTGGGCATTGGTAATCACATAAATTTTACAAACCATAAGTTGAGCTTTGTACTAAGAAACCCCAGATTTAAAATGGGAAATAGGCAGAAGTAGGTATTCTCCTGTTCAATGCATTTGTTAGATCTGAATTAGAGCATGCATCATCAATATTGAACCCTCAAACAGTACTACACTTGGAAATGTTAGAAAAAATATAGAAAAAATGTACATCTAGTATAGGAAAAATAGAGAGTTCCCTTTCATGATCTCCTATAGATCATGGATAGACATATTTGAAATAAATTCATTGTCAGATAGCGGAAAGCTGAATGATGTGCTACTTATTTTCAACATATTCTATCATGCTTTAAATGTTCCTGAAGTCCTATCTCATATTAATAATCATGTTCCCAATATCAGTCTTTGAAATAGAAATCATAATTTCAAGATAGGAACCTAGTCAGATTCTTCACTCAACCATTGTCTGAAACAAGGTCTAAAAGAGGTAAATGTATTATTGAAGAGACAATGCAGTTTTGACATTCTGAACTGCAATAAGCAGATAGAAATGAGTCAGATGTTAGATTAGTGTGATATATATCCATACTTGTGTGGTTATGTACTTTCTGTGATTATGTATTTAGGTGCAATACCTGTTTGGTTACACAGTGTATTCATTATTTATGTCTTGTATCCTATATTCTATTATATTTGGATATGTCTACACTGTGTACATGTTATTGTGTTTCTGACCTGTTTGTTGTACAGTCTAAATAAATTTTGTCTGTCTATAATGTCTAACAATGATGTTTAATATCAGGGATGACAAATATAATAAATATAGGATGAAGATGTAATAATGATGAAATCTTTTATAAAAAAGTTAGTATAGATACTCACTCCAAGAGGCTTCCGCTCATCTGCTTCAGAATCATTAAGGCAATGAAAGTTTTACCTGATCCAGTGGGTAAAAATATAATTGAGTTCTTTTCTAAACCAATTTTCATCAGTTCCACTTGGTAGTTTCTGGGTGTAAATTCTTCACTCATTTTGACTATTTGTCCAAAATTTGCCCACTTGCACAAAAATAATCTCTATGCAACTGCAGCTCCTTAGATTTCCAAGGTTTGCACTGGATGGAAAAGATGATAATGACGTGTCCCTTAACCCTTTGTGCAGATTTTTCTCTTGTAGATATTTCAGGGAAACCACACAAGTAATATTATCAATTTATCAAACTACAGAAACAGAGGGGAAACCCCTGATAGATCAACACAATCAACATAACCTTAACAGACTTAAGGCCTGTTCACACTGCAGTGACGAGAGCCTAAAGTTTTTGAACCATTCCCAAACCTTCACAGTGAATCACGTGATGCGAAATGGACGCATGCGATGTGCATGCGATGCGCATTCGCTCATAGAGAAACGGAATAGTTGGAATCTAGTTGGAATTACCCGGAATTACCAACGAGATCGAGAACCTAACGAGAACGAGGTCCCGAGAGGAAGGCATAAACAAACAACTATGGAGGAAGAAAAACATCCTTGAAAGCCTAAATGTCTACACAAAATCATCACGGTAGGCTGACGTCATGCTATTAGTGGACCAGAATAAAACTCCTTGACCAAACTCAGAGTCCACAATTTTACATTGCAATTTTATGACGAAAAATAAGCATAAAAACACGAATCACGAATTTCAACATATCACATGATGGAAATGGTTCGAAAGACTTAGGCACTTCTCTGCATTGAGCCAAGTGTTGCCAACTCAGATTTCCAAAAGTCGCAAAATGAGAAACACAAAAAAATGCCCCGCGATAAAATTTGCAAATCGGGTAATTTTCTGGTGGTTCTCATGTTTTCAACTTCTAAATCACTAGATTATATTACACCAGATAATGGAAATCTAGCTGGTCAACGGATCTTATTGGCTTAACAATATAATATGAGTACGTGAAATTTTAAAACAGAAAACAAAACGAACAAAATAAATATGCCTCATGACATCATTGACATACTTGTATATGTTACGTATAAAACAAGAAGAATAAAAAAACATTTGATATCCTCTTCTCTAGTTTTACATTGTTAGAATTAGATTTTTCTCATTAAACACGGGAAATTTTAGATGCAGGTCCTTAACCACAAGATATCACAATTTTGTTGAGAAAATTGAACAAAATAAACACCATCCACTTGATGTCATATTTTGTCACAAAACGGAAGCTCAAACCGTTCTAGTGTGAAATCCACTAAGTTCAACACTGACCAAGAATCATCCACTAGCCGGAAAATCGGAAGCGGATTTTCAGTGTCACAATTCTAATGGTTGACTTGAAACTGAAGGATTTTACCGCCAATTTATTTGCGGATATGCAATTAATATGGAGGTCTTTTTTACTTTTTAATACAAATGGAGTTCATGTTTCTCCGAAACTAGGATGCATGTATTGTAGAAACACCTATTGTAAAAACCGATAATCTGCGCTACATTGAAAGCATAGTATTGTGAAAAAACAATTTTTGCAATACATAAAATTTCATGACAGTAGATGAGATACATTTTTGCGATAACTTAAGTCTTTATCTATTGTTTTTACAATACATGAGGCTTAATGTATTGCAAAAATGAGTTTTTGCAACAGATTGATTTTCAGGTTTCGATCTAGTTTCGATTATCTTTTTCTTCTTCTCTACTTATCTTAAATCATAGAATGCATAATATTTTTGAGTTCTGTGCTCTTGATGTCCAGATGTCAAAAGTCAAAAACAACTGAACGAACCCCTATATATATATATATACTGAAAAAGGTTTATCAAAATTCCGAGAATGTATAAAATAAAAAGGTATTTGAATCTGTATTTGAATATTTAAGAGTACTGGTACTGATAGGTAGAATAATTGAGGGACATTTGCAAACATTTCACAATTACAGAGGTATTCCATGAGCTGTTTGCCCCTTGGTATGGAAATGAGTTATTTTTCTTGGACAAATTGAAATTAGCTTTTAAATGAGTAGTGTTCTAAGAAATTAGAAAGGTGGATTTGTTCTAGGAATGTTCTAGGGTAGGCAATAGTGAAGGTTAATGAATGTGATGGTATACTCACACCTCACCATTTTGGCAGTTTAGGGCATAAGGGTGTGAAGAGAAAACTAACAGTTTCAATCTTACTTTTCATAAAAGGCGAATAAAGATATTAAAGGGATGGTATGATGTACGACTATCTTCAACAGTTCTCAATAATCTCAGTATACCCGTTTCTCGTTCAACGGCTTCAACGTAGATCGTAGATGAAGTCACAAGTCAGTGATTATTTTAAACTTTGGACTCTCTGCTATAGAGGTCCACAGGCCAAAAAAAAAGAAGAAGTCATTATCTTTTTCTTCTCGAGCTTTATTTATCTTTTTAGTTTTTACCATGTTTTTACTTACAATACATGAAGCCTAATGTTTTGCAAAAATGGGTTATTGCATTTGATGAATTTTGCTATATCAATTATCTCAATACATGAATTGTTCAAATGTTTGTTTTTACAATACATTGCTAGTTAATGTATGGTATAAATCAGTTTTTGCAATACATTGAAATCAATGTATTGCAGAAACTATATTTTCACAATACATTGCTTGTAGTGTATCTCACCATCGTTTTTACCATACATTGCAAGTTGGTGTATTGTAAAAACGTTTCATTTTTGCAACACATTGCGGCAATGTATTGTAAAAACGTTTCATTTTTGCAACACATTGTGGCAATGTATTGTAAAAATGCCAATTTTTGCAATACATTGCCGCAATGTGTAGCAAAAATAACAGTTTTTACGATACATTGCTCTTCAAGTATTCAATTCCTGCAGCAAACTATTGCAAAAACACAATTTTTGTCATACATTCGATAGAATGTATATTAAAAAGTAAAAAGGCACTCCATAAATTAAGGTGATGTAGTGTATGTAGTTTCAACTTTTTGCGGATTTTACTAGATTTATAACCTCAAAATATACTACTTTTACCATATATCTCAACCAAAATGGGACCAAAATGAGGGGTACTTTCTGAATCAAGGACGGAAAGTGAAGGATGGAAACAGCCATATTGATTTGACAAGTTTCGTCTACGTCGGCATCAACGCCTATTGGTGTTGTCGATTTCGTTACCTATAAAGACAGAAGTTGGTCCCGCTTTGAGGACAGGTATGATTCATATATTAGTAGTAGCATGATGAAAATCCACCTTTAGTAGTAGATATATGACTGTTACCATCATGTTACCGTCGATTATGATGATGATGACAAATTATTTTTAGGTAGAATGGAAACCTTGGCGTATTATCTTAGTTGATTTTCGAATCCGCTTAGGATTTTCCGCCTTGTGAAAACCTGTCTTCTCATAGTGAAAATATCGATGGAAATATTTTGCATCAACTCTGTCATAATCATATATCTACTACTCATATTATGAAGCATAGATGTCCTCAAAGCGGGACCAACTTCTGTTTCTATAGGTAACGAACTCGACCAATAGGCGTTGATGCCGACGTAGGGAACAAATAATACGAAACATGTCAAACCATTTTTTAATTCCTATTTCTTTCACTTTACCCACTTCCACAGTTTAGCCAAAGAGGAGGGTGACTAACCTATATTCTTTGGTTTAGCCGTGTATTTCACTTCAACATCCACTCCATTCATTTTTAATTCGAATGTTCCCATCATATATCCTTCATTTTCACATTCATAATTTGCAAACAAATCATCAAGTTTACCTTTTAACCGCCTTCACAAATTTGGAGTTGGTAAAGCCCAAGGGTAAAGCCGGTCCCTTGATGGAAATTGACGTTAAAGTTATCAAGGGACCCTATTTGTGACTAGTCTGAATCGATTGCCATCAATGCCATCATCAAAATTTTTGTAATAAAAATGCCCAATCTAAATTAGTGTGAACAATGACCACAGTCGTTTTAGTACGTTTTAGTACCATTTCTATGAGACTTTCAGTACGCAGCAAAAATTACGAGCGGCATCACTGCACGGCAGTGTTCAACAGGTTTGTCCAAAGTCCAAGAAATGTCAAGAATGTCAACGATTTGTCAACAACATAACCTAACCAAGTAAATAGTAAATATTATCATTTTTTACGTGTTTAGGTGAATTGAGTTTCTAGGAGGATCTGAATTTCAGATTTCAGACAAACTATTTATTTGATTGGTTCCATAAGCCCGTCAGCCATCAGTAAAGATGATGAATCCCACTTTAAATTACGCCATCCAAAGTACAGCTGGGGCTGTCCCCATTCGAAATGAAAAAGGTAATGTGACGAAGTCGAATCCGTACAACAAACACAGTTTTTCTGAAACCAAACCGAATTGTAGGTGAACTGTCCATGCAAAAAGTGAAAGTCCACAGATACGTTTCTGGTAAGAGGCCCGATTACGCTCAAGATGCTCGGTCAGAGAGCGAGAGCGACGAGGAAGATTTCCTGGAACGGAAAAACCATTTGGCTTCGGCGCCCTCGCCGGAGCCCGAGAAGAGCGACGATGACCTAGACGATCCCCGTTTGAGGAGGTTGAAAATTGCAGAAGTGGAAACTGAAGTCAGGCCAGAGCGAAGGAGACATGTTGTGGATCCTGAATTACTGGAATCATCAGATGATGATGATGAACTAGAGGAAGAAATCCATTTGTCAGGTAAATACAAGATAGGGTGACCAGGCATACTCTTTTTATAGTACAAGTACCCTTTTTCAAGGATGTTGTCCTAGAAACTTTTTTTCATTTAGGTTTTTGCTGTCCTCTATTTTGAAGTCCTCTTCAGATGGTTTATAGTCAAAATTTCATATTAGGATAAATAGAAATATGAACAAACCAGAAAAACTGATGACATCAAATGTTCTCTGGTTCTTTCAATATGGTGAATTCATACATGACTTGACTTAGTCCTAACTCAAGTATTAGAGAAGGAGATTGGTGGACTAAGAATTGGCATCTGGAATCAACCAACAATCACTCTTCATTATTAGTTATTTTGAGTTAAGCATTGATTCACCATATAGTATTTATTTTCATCTAGTACACTACAGAATTAAATACAAATTCCAAATGGTACGTTTGAAGTAAAAATACAAATGACATAATAATAAAAAACATGCATAAACAACAATGGATACTATACTATAACATGGTAAAACAAAACAGAGATTCAAGACAAATAGAAATAAGTTACAAATTAAAATTTCAACAGTGATGTCAGTTGCTTCTTAAACTTATTAATATCAAAAATATTGACTGATGGGAAATTTTCATTATAATTCTGTTTAAGCCTGCAACAAAATGCAGAGCTGCTATAATCAGTACTATGTGATGAAACATAAAAGGTTTGACAATTTCTTGTGGTCCTGGGATTGGCATGAAATGACAAACATTCCATTACTTGAGGGCAATTAACACCATTCACTATCTTGAAAAGAAAGTTTGGCATAGCTAACATTCACTGGGTTTCCAAAGTTTGAAGATCAAATAATGTAAGTCTTGTCAAAGAATCAAATCCATGAAAAGATAGCCTATGTTTCCAAACAAGGAAATCAGTGAACCTCCCCTGGACTCCCTCCAAGCGCTGCTTATGACAATTATATGCTGGTGACCAAATTATACTATTATATTCCAAAATACTCTGCACCAGTGATATGTATAAGGTCTTGATGGCATCTAGGTCAGAAATATTTTTAGCTTGTCTGTTTATGAATCCTACCATTCTCAGGGATTTGTTACAAATACTATTAATATGGTTGTTAAAAGTAAGTTCTTTGTCAAAAATTACCCCTAAATCACTGATACTATTTATTTACTATTTATGAGGGTGTAGCAGATCTGTAACTGTTTGCTTACTAAAATTAATAAATATGTTTTTTTATCTCTATTTTTTTACTCATTATATTTCTTAAAATAGTTGTTTCAAAGGTAAGAGAAAATCTAATTTTCAATTTGAAGGCATTGACTTTGAGTCCAAGGAAAGATGAGAAAGATACACTTTCATCAGACTAGTCAGAACACATTGAAAGTAAATGGAAGTGATATTCAAATACCTACATTTTGAAAGTTAGATAAATCCAAGTGGTTATGTCCTAAGAGACATAATGAAAGGTAGGTACTTGATACAGATACCTAATATTTGAATTTACAATATAACTTGACCCCTATATGCTCCTATTTAGTTATAGACCAAGAGCCCACATGTTTTTTGTGTCTCATAAGTTCACACTCAGCAGTATAAGAACATAAGAACCCCTAAAATTCCACCTTCCACTACATGAATATGAGTTTTCCGATTAAAAATCGTGGACCAAAGAGTAGGGGCCGCGTGGCTGTAGTTGTATTAAAAAATCTGCTGTCAGGAATCATTATATTTACCATTTGGCGTATGTCGCAAGTTACTGTAACTGAAAAAAAAATTGGGCGGACCGCTTTGCCGAACGTGGAGGGTGGCAGGATGCACAGTGGCTGAATAAATTAATTGGATATTGATCTTCCTAGTCTCAAAATATAATTTTCTTCAACAATATTATTTGTTACCGTTCGGTGATGGTGTTTTATCGTGTCTTATGAATATTAATGGTAACCCCAGAATAAAATTATTGGACCAGTGGACCTGTTTCGTGTAAATGGCGAAGAAAAAGTCCGCCATGAAACATTTTCAATACAATGAATAGAATGAGGAATGACTTTTCCATGGCTTTTTACATAAAACAAGTTAAATCATTTTGTTCTGTGGTTACATGACCTCAATACCTCAATTATAATATTGATTACCATAAAACACCCTAGCCTAACGGTAACAAATAATATTGTCAACAATAATTGGATTTTAAAACTAGGAAGGTGATTGTAGTGGACTGTAAGTAGTTTTTTTGTTTTTGTTTGTTTGATTTCAAATCAGGCTGAATCAATCACGGGAAAGTACTTCCCACCTTAAACAGTTGAAATCTACGCCATTCCAGGGAATTCAGGTTCCAGGGCTGTTCCAGAAGTGGAATTTAATATGAACATTCTCCACACCTCTGTTGAATGCTTTCAACAAAAACTAAACTAAAGAGGTGGAAACGGACAAAGCTTGACCAAAGGCCGTTTATAGCTCCCAGAACTTGTTTGAACTGTGGCCATATGAGCCACACCATTCTTACCAGGATGTAGTTTGGCGATTCGCGCCGTACGCCACTGCAAGGGCGGAAAATGGTCAATCCCATTTATAACGGTTCTGTAGATTGGTTACATACTCATAACGCAACCGGGCCTTGAAATCTGCGTCCAGCATCCTTTGAAGGAGCAGCCATCTGTTCAAGCGATTGAGACTCAAATGCGACAAATCAGGGTCTGGTAAACAGGTAAGAGGCTCGGTTGTCATAAAATGACCCAGGCGTGAGAACAGATGAATCGCGAGGGTCTGCGCTTAAGAAGTAAAGCGGGCGAGAATTTAACATGAATTCGATTTGAGTAATCACCGTGTATAATTCTTCAAAAGTGAGAATCTGATGATCCTATCACTCGTGCTAAATGCGTTTTTAAAGATTTAAGGCCAGCTTTCTCCAATCCGGAAAAATGTCTAGTAGCGGGAAGATGGAATGACCAGATGAATTTCTCGGACTGCATTCTTCGTGATTTCTAAAATGTACTTATTTGGACCTACAAAATTGGTGCCGCAATCTCTGAAAATTCTAGAACAGCGCCCTCGGCGTGCGATGACATGACACAAACACGCCAGAAAAGCGTCTGATTTCAAGTCGGATGCAAGTTCAAGGAGTAATGCCTTTGTAGCAAAGCACACAAACACGCAAACATATGCTTTTAGGGACAAAATAGTGGCCAGAAAAATCAACAGAAACAATGTTAAATGCATTTATTTGTGAAACGCGGGGAGCCGGTAAATAGCCCATGAGGGGTTGCAGCGGACGGGTGTTCAAATGCCAACATTTGAAGCAGTATCCAATAGTTTTGCAAGATTAAATAACTGCAGCAGATATTAAACTCAATGTATAATCACTGTGTAACACAGGCTGAAGGACCTCGGTCGGTAGCCTTTTGGGTATCCAATAAAGTTCTTTTATTATTAATATTATTATTATTAAATAATGTTTGTAAACGAGGGTGAAACTTTTGTTTGTGCGTATCTGTTATCAGCTCCGTGAGACGGCTAGATCGTGGTAAAAGAATAGGATGCTTCCTATCATACTCGTCTAGAAAAACAAGGAGCCTCTTCACAGGCTTAGAAGGACTTTTATTGTCTGACGAATGTCATTCTCAAATGAAAGATATAGCGTGTATTTGACAAAAATAAATAAAATAGAATACAATATAATCAAAATTATGCCCGGTATTTTTACTTCGGAAAGTTGTGGTAATTATCTTTCTTAATAATACGTAAAATATCCTTTGGTGGGGATTCATCCCAACCAATGCCTAGAATCCACAATTTTTGTATTACTATTTTAGCCAAAACAGTAACGGGGGTTAAAAACCCTAGGGGGTCGAAGATTCTTGCGATTTCTGAAAGTATGTATCATTTTGTTCACGGTCTATCATGCAGGGTGACAAAATATAAAAAGGTTTCTGCAAAAGGATCCCACTTCAAACCTAACATTTTCACCGTGGCCATATTCTTGCTTTTGTCAAGAGAATATGACTGATTATAAAGGAAATCGATTGGCAAATTCGATAAAAATTCCGGGCTATAACTAGACTACTTTCTTAGAGGAAATCCACCTCTTTCACATATAGAAATTAACTGTCTTTGAATTTTGAGATAGCTTTCCAATGAATTGGTCCCACAGATAATGTCATCGACATCGGATGAGCGAATTTCGGATGCAAGCTTGATTTTTCATCCAAGGCGAGTTGTTTGATCGTTCTTAACGCCAGCCAAGGAGCGCCAGAAATTCTGAAACTTGTGGTTAATAGTCTATAGTCCAATGCGGTGAAAATCTTTATTCTTTTCGTGTATCTAAATTTGCCTATTCATTTGGCGAATGTCGACAGTAAAATCAATAGCATATGTCGTCTATTGTGACATGTGCTCAAGAATGCTCTAAATGTTCACCGTTTTTACTTATTCACAGAAAAAAATCGGTTTTGGAATTCATTCGGAATGTTATTTATCGAAAAGATAATACATAAACTTTATCGTTTCCGAGGTGAACTCAAACGCTTGTCAGTTTAAATCGGCTTGACCGATTTGCACAAACGGAGCGATGCTTAATAGAGATTCGAAAGACCTTTAAAACTAGGTATCACTTGACCCCCCCTGTTCATTTGTAAAAAAAAAATTGATGATGCCATCTTGACATTAGTAGTTAAAGAGGTATAATCAAATTATACATGATTTATTTAAATTCTTTGTTAGTTGTTCAGGAATCTCAGACAAGTCTTGGAGGATCCTCAATTATAATCGTTGTACCACTCGCAGGTAACGTCCCGAATTAGATATGGTATTTGTTTATGGGGCAACTCAACTTTTGTTAATGACGTATTTACTCTGCAAAAAAGAATATTAAGAATAGGGCGTTCCAACCTACTCTTGTAATTGTTTGTGGAATACCATATATTGACACTTGTTTCGTTGTATATTTATGAAATATGTACTTTCATTTCCATGAACAAAACAAAATTTTATCTCAATAGAAATCTATATTCCATTTTATAAATATAAAGTCTCGGCAAACTCATCTGCCTAGTTGTGATGATCTATAAAAATTTGTCGAAGAAAATTAAAAATTATAGTGATACTAGAAAGTTGAACACAGCCTTGAAACATTTTTTAACTAAAAATTGTGTTTATTCTTTGGAGTAATATTTTAACGTGTAAAATAATAAATATGTATAATCTCTGTCGTTCTGCTCCATCTTTCGTATTTTTTGTTCTATGTTTTTGTATGTTTTTTTTTTTGTTTCTGACTATTCCTATACATTGGAAAATGAATAAATATATTATTATTATATTATTTATATCTGAATTTTAGCCGACCTCACTAGCTTGTTCCGTTCAAAATTTAAAGGGGGGAGGGGTTGAGGACTTTTTACGTCCTCACTGTATATCACAAATATCGTTTCAATATTGTAAAACAATTCCCAGAGTACAAACATACCCTGGAAGCTGCCCCAGATGAAGATGAATCAGAAGCCGAGCTCAGCGATGGTGAGATCGAGAAGAAGAGAGAGCTGATGAAACACCGCATGCTGAACAAAAAAGAAGAAGAGTTTATGGCGAAAGAAGAGGAGAAAGAAGATTCCGATTCAGAGGAGTCGTCCGAATATGAGGAATACACTGATTCTGAAGAAGAAACAGGTGAGTCCATCTCTAATACATTCTATTTAATGAGGTTGAATAAAGTGATGGTATTTTTCCAGGTCCTAGACTCAAACCGGTCTTTGTCCGCAAAAGAGACAGAATAACGATAATTGAAAAGGAGAAAGAAGCCCAGAAACAGAAGAAACTGGAAGAAGAAGCGCAACGCCTGGCTGAAGAAAGAAGAAGGCAAACCTTGAGGTAATAATGATAATCACTTTCTTTCAGCAACTATGCCTTATCTAAAAACAAAAAGCGATTCCTCTTCTTAACTATTATCAGGCTTTCATATGGGTTTGATGTTTTCATTATTGATAACTTGTTTGATCACCTATTACTTCCTTTTCTAATCTACTGTTTACGAATGAGTACTTGGTATGGTTTACCGCCAGCAATGGAAAGACTAATCGAGCTCACCTGGAATCTGTCTGACGACCGGCATCAACAAAACCTCCAGCAAGGGCTCTGTCCAAAGGGCTGCTTCACCACCAGTACTAAGGGGGGTTGAGTGGACTGTATTTTGGGGGAAAGTTCACACTATCGCGTATAGCCTTAGCGTTTTGTTTTGGGCGCGAGATTTTCGGTTTTTTTGAAATCGAGTCCGTTCTCTCGCGGTACCGTATGAGTTTCTGCCGTATTCCCCCGTTTTCTCGATGGCGTCGATTGCTTCCAAAGCTGGACGGATATACATTCGAAGCCAAAAGTTAGGGTCCGGATTATATTGGATATTATTGAGTGAATTTGTCTTCATAGGTTTAGAGAATCTTATTGTACGAATTATTATGTCTAATTATATTTATACTAAAAACTAAACTAAACGTAAATATTTTGGGGTTTTAAAATTTTCCCGCCCCAAAATACACAGTATTTTGACTATATTATTGAGAGGGCAAAGGGCATAATTTGACACAAGGTCTCTGAAAAACACCTTGCGTTGTACGCACCGTAGCTACCCTCGTGATTCCGTCAGTACCGGGATGTAGTTGGGTTACCCTTCCGAGACGCCACTGCAGTGGAGGGGTCAGCTCAGATTTGATCAATACGAGTTCCCCAACGTGGAGATCTTTCTTAGTATCTAGCCATTTGATACGCTGCTGCAGGGTGTGTAGGTATTCATTATGCCACCTCTTCCAGATATCCTGGTGAATTCGCTGCAACAATTGCCAGCGATCCAGCCGATTCAAGTTCAGGTGTGTGAGGTCAGGGTCTGGTAAAGTGGTTAGGGGTTCCAAAAGTAGAAAATGGCCAGGAGTTAAGACTCCTAGATCGTTAGGATCGTTGCTCATTGGATATAGGGGCCTGGAGTTCAATATGGCTTCAATTTGTACGAGAACTGTATAGAACTCCTCATAAGTTAAAATTTGGTCACCAAGGACCTTGACGAGATGTGTTTTGATAGATTTTATGCCTGCCTCACTGAGACCATTGAAATGAGGTCCACTAGGTGGAGAAAAATTCCAGACAATCTTCTCTGATTCCGATGCGCCTTTCATGAATTGAACTAGAGTGCGATAAGCTCCACAGAAGTTTGTAGCATTATCGCTGAACAATAATGTACACCGTCCACGGCGACTTATCAGACGTCTGAGAGCAGCCAAAAAGGCATCTGAGGTTAAATCGGACACCAATTCAATGTGTACGGCTTTCGTGGTGAAGCATACAAAGAGGCAAATATAGGCCTTTTGAGATTTTACTCCTCGACCCTTCGACATAGCTATATTGAAGGGCCCAGCATAATCAACGCCAACGACTTGGAAGCATTTAACCTGATTTATGCGAGGAGGGGGTAGGTTTCCCATTGGAGGTTCCAAAGATTTGGGCTTCACACGGAAACATCGGTTGCACTTGGAAATTATTCGAGTGATGGCACGTCTTGGAGATAGAATCCAAAAATTCTGGGCCACCAGGAAATGGAGTGTTTGCATCCCTGGATGCATATGCGTGATGTGGGTTTTTTCAATAATCAAATCTGTTATGCGATGTTTATTGGGTAGGAGGGCAGGATGTTTGTGGTTGAATTCTAGTCCTGAAAAATGAAGCCGACCTCCTACTCTTAAGACACCGTCCTCAGAGAGAAACGGGTTTAGTTTTCGTAAATGTTTAGGAAGAGGTAATTTATTTTCTAATCTGGATATTTCCTGAGAAAAGGATAGTAGTTGAACTCGTTTAACCAACACGAGAAGGGCCTCGTTGAGCTCCCTCTGAGAAAGGGCAGTACACTGTCTCTTGGTAGGGTGTTGTGCATTATTAATGAAACGCAAACACCACGAGACAATTCTTTGAACCTTATCCAAGGATTAAAATTTATCCAAAAGGTTATCTAACGAATCTAGACTAACTTGAGAGATGAGCGAAATTTTCTTCTCTTCTGCTAATACATTGGGAGGTTCAATCAGAGGAGTATTTGGCCATTCGGTACGGGGTTTTTGTAGCCAAGGAGGGCCATGAAACCACAGGTGGTGGTTAATCAGTTCTTGAGGTAGAATACCTCGAGAGGTACAGTCGGCAGGGTTGTCTTGGGATGAAACGTGTTGCCAACACGAAGGGGATACCTTATCTTGAATGGCACTGACTCTATTGCTGACAAAGGTCTGCCACTTATGTGCAGAAGATTTTATCCACCACAAAGTGATCATAGAGTCGGTCCATGCATACACATGTGAGAACGTCAACGTAGTTGAGTATTTGGTCATTACGTAGTGCATGACCTTGGCCAAGAGAAGAGCTGCGCATAGCTCTAGTCTTGGAATCGAAATCGACTTCAATGGAGCGACTTTCGATTTACCATTGACCAGTCTAGTTTCGATTCTGTTATTCGGGAGAGTGAAACGCAGGTAAATCACACATCCATAGCCTTTCTCAGAACTATCTGCAAATCCGTGAATTTCGCAAGTTATGAAATTCGAGGGTAATAATAATCTGGGAATTTTTAACGTACAAATATCCGGTAGTTGTTTCTTGTACTGAAACCATCGTTCTGAGACATAATCGGGAGGAGATTCATCCCAGTCTAATCCCAAACTCCACATGTGCTGGATAAGGTATTTTGCTAAAAATGTTATTGGAGAAAGAAAGCCCATGGGATCAAAAATTCGGGCGATTTCGGAGAGTATGCCGCGTTTGGTTGATAAATTATCGATAGGAACTACTTCATACGAGAAATAATCTTGTGTCGGATACCATTTCATGCCTAAGATTTTAACAACAGTGTCATGATTGTCAAACGAAAGGGAACTATGTTGACAATCCTCGGGGGGTAAGCCATCGAGGAGGTTTTCATGATTAGCTGACCACTTACGGAGTTTGAAACCTCCTTTATCTAGAAGTGAAATCAACTGAGATTGCAGATCTTTAGCACTCTCAAGAGAAGAGGAGCCTGTGAGGACATCATCGATATAGATATCTGAACGAAGTGCTTTGGAGGCTAGGGGAAATTGGAGTTGTTCATCATCTGCCAACTGGAGTAAAGTGCGGAGGGCTAAGTATGGAGCTGAAGAGAGACCGTAAGTGACCGTATTCAGTCTGAAATCTTGTACAGGGTGATCAAAGGAAAATCTCCATAGTATCCTTTGGTAATCACGGTGAGACTCATGGACAAGGATTTTTCTGTACATTTGCATGATGTCCGCACTGAATACAAATGTATGAAGTCTGAAGTTCAGTAAGACACCTACGAGGTCAGTTTGTAGCTTCTCGCCTGTTAGGAGGGTATCGTTGAGAGAATGACCAGCCTCTGACTTACTGGAAGCGTCAAATACCACTCGGAGCTTGGTCGTACTGCTATTCAGATTTCGAACACATAAATGGGGAATATAGTACATGTTTTCGAACGAGCGTGGTTTTTCTACGAGTTCCATGTGACCACAAAGTAGATAATTCTGAATAAAATTACAATACTCTTGGTGAAGGAGATGATCCATTTTCAGCCTGCGTTCGAGACAGTAAAACCTTTTGAGAGCTAATGTCGACTGTCTCCAAAATAGGGCTTGGGGCCCCGGAAAGGCAGGAACACCACAAATCGTCCAGTAGAAAGTCGATAGTGAGTGTTTTTGAAGATACCTTCACATTTTTCATCCTCGGGAGATCGCACATGTGTGTGAGGGATATCTTCTATCTCCCAAAATTTCTTGAGTGATGTCTCTAAGGAGGCATCACTCAGGGATAGGAAGGATTTTACAGGAGTCGTATGAGAAACTTCAGCTGTGCCCATGATGATCCAGCCTAGCACAGTTTCTATCGCATGTGGTTCATTGAGAGCAGTACCAGCTATTTTATTACTCAAAAGAATTTGCGGAAACATATCCGCCCCGAGCAACATATCAATGGGAGATGAGATATAGTATGTTGGATCGGCGAGGTTAAGATTCGAGAGGTGAGGCCAATTTTGCAGAGGAAGAGATGTTGTAGGCATTTGCCCACAAATGCTAGATAGTATTGCAGCTTCTATAGTAAAAATCGGTTCAGATTTTCCGTGAGGTTTAAGCATGCAGGTAATCGAGGAGGAGGTAGAGGATGATATTTCACCAATACCGCTTATAGACAGAGATAATTTTGATCGTGGCAATCCTAATCGATTGGCACAATTTTGAGTTATGAAGTGCGATTGGCTTGCCGTATCAATTAGGACACGAATAGGTTGGTAATTTGAACGAACATCGAGAACCTCGACCAGAGCAGTGGCTAAGAGGACCATTGAGGAGGAGTTACGCGGATTTGAGATCATAACAGTCACGTTAAGAGGTTGGTCGGGTTGAGAACTTGAGTGAGGAGTGGGTTGAGTGTGAGAGATCACGGGAGCAGTAGCCGAGTCATCATCGAAGTGCAGCAGAGTGTGATGTTTACCTTTGAGACCCTTACACACCCGGCAAATAGCTGTTGACCCACATGATTTGAGAGTATGGCTCAAGCCCAAGCAATTAGAACACCATCTATTCTGTTTGACAATGTTATAACGCTCTCTTGGTACTTTAGATGCAAATACTGGGCAATTATAAATATTATGGGTCCCGGAACATATAGGACATTTGTCCGGGGTTTTTTCAGTGTTTGTTAAAAGAGATGTAGGACCTTGAGGTTTGAATTTATTAGAATTCCTTTTTATAATTGAGCTGTTAGGAGAATGAGAATCCTGCTTATATTTTTGATAGTGAGGTTTTGCTGAGGCGAATGGGTCTAGTGCTACACACCGTTTTTCTAAAAAT